GGGGAGGTGGCAGAGACAGGGGTGAAACTGGTAGGTGTTCGCCTGTTTGGGGAGTTTATATCCAGTGTACTTCGTTTGAATGGACAGCTAGCAAGCATAGACAGTATATTTAGCCAGCATGGATGTAGCATGAATGCTTTGCTTTGTATGTCCGGGGCGGGACATTCATGTGATTGGTTGTTGGTCGCGTTGTTCGTAAAACATCCCCAAGCTTCAGACACGCCCACCGCCAAGCGGTAACGCACGCTGCCGTGTGTAGGGGCAGTTATTGTTAACGTTAGCTGCGCTAGCAACATTCCCCTGGCTAGCTCAAGCTCACCTTTCCCAGAGGTATGGACGGAGGAGATGTGGCGGAGGAAACAAGAGGCATACCCGTGGATAGACTGCAAAGCTGGGAAACTGGGCTGCAAAGTTTGTTCATCCATTTCGGATTTATCAGTCTTCAAAACGCAAGGGGTGTGGTGTGTGTGTGTGTGTGTGTGTGTGTGTGTGTGTGTGTGTGTGTGGTGGGTGTGTGTGTGTGTGTGTGTGTGTGTGTGTGGTGTGTGTGTGTGTTGTGTGGTGTGTGTGTGTGTGTGTGGTGTGTGTGTGTGTGTGGTGTGTGTGTGTGTGGTGTGTGTGTGTGTGTGTGTGTGTGTGGTGTTGTGTGTGTGGTTTGTAACAAATGATAAATGTTCATGGCTGCTACATACCTCCAACATGTGGTTTAACTGAGCCTTGAGTTCAAAGTAAGGCTTGGATTTGAAAAGTGTGTGTGTGAAAAGCAGCGTTGTCTGCTTATTTTCTGTTCTAAACAAGGCAAAGTATTTGCTAGATTACAAGGCATTGAGGATGTTGTACTGTTCACTCATTTTGCCATTTTTCATTTATTGTATAGAAGTGTGGGGCAACACGTATATGAGCAACATAAAGCCATTGTCAATATTACAGAAAAGGGCAGTAAGAATAATTCATAAAGCTGACTCAAGAGAACACCACAGACTGTTTTTAAGTCAGGACTCTTGAAACTCAAAGACAGCTGAGCTGCATACATTATCAGTAATGCACAGGGCAAAGAGCAGAATGTTACCAACATGTTTACAACAGTTGTTTGTTTTTGGATCAGACAAGGAAGACCACAGAAGGAAATTAAATTTTAAGCATCCATATGCAAGGACTACTCTTAAACAAATGTGTATTTCGGTAGTTGGTGTACAATTGTGGAATTCTCAACACAAGGATCTAAAGAATTGTATTGTATTTTTCAGTTAAAGAAGTTGTATAAATTAAGAAAGATGGGACTATATGAAGCAGAATGTGAATAAGTCTATGTACTCTGGTCCTTCATGTTTTTGATGTCTTTGATGTGATGTCTCCTCTGTATTTGCGGGTCCCATTGCCATTGTTATTGTTGTTATTGTTATTATCATCATGTGTCGCTTTCCACCTTCTTCTCCAGTAGGACTCAGATGAGGGTGTTGCACTTTTCTTTTCCTTATACATGTGATGTTTTGGTGTTGTTTTGTTTCTTTCCGTTAACCGTCAAGTGGGAAATAAGTATTTTTTTGTGTGTTTCTCTTAGTATCCTAAGATACTGTTATGTTTGGCTGTGAAAAAAAATTATTATTATGAAGGGCAGACCATCTATTTGTATTTATTTGTTTTTTTTAGAAAGGGGCAGGTCACATAAGATTTATTCTTCTCCCTGCTCCTTTTCGCTCAATGGTAGAGTCATGTTTTGTGGCAATTATTGTACATTTGGTTTTGCGTACCATGAGCGGGACAAATAAAAATGAAATGAAATGTAGACTAGGCCTAATCAGAATAATTTCAAGTCCAGATTCAATTTTCTGGATTCAATTCAATGTTGCATAAGGCTATATTTTTCGTTTCGTTTATTCGAACAACTTTTGGAATTTTGTTTGTTTGTTATGAGTTTTAAATAGATTTTAAAAGTGGAGATAGAGAGAAGCAGCGCTGTCTGCTTAGTTGCAATACTATAGCTTATGCAATTTAGGCCTATAAATTGTTTATGTAACTTATGTGCCAGTGTGTCCATGGTTTTGAGTCTGTGTGTGTTGAACGCAGCGCTGTCTGCTTTTTGTAGTACAGTAACTAAAGTAGGACTAACCATACCGGTAGTTTCTGTGGACCTGTCGCCCGTTTTGTGAGTGCACTGCGCGCGTGCGCACTTGTGTGGCATTGTTTGGGATGACCTAATTAAAATAGCGTCCCCCCAGTAAAAAATCCCCACTACACCACTGTACATACATACATACATACATGTGTGTTGATAAGTATATCTGAACTTTGGAATGAGCCAAGCCGTCAGCAGTCTCAATGCTAAACTAATGCTAATCCCACCCTGACTCCAGCTCTATTAACCTCATGTTTCATCTGCTCTACGCACTTCAACATTATTATGTGTTGGTACTTCTCCAGTTAGAGCGTTTGCTTTACATGTTGTCGCCAGCTTTATCAACCTTTACTTGACAACAAACTGCTTCTAAGCTTTTGAATGAATTGTTATGAAGAAATATCATGAGTTTGAAAAATACCAAAAGCCAGCAACATTTTTAAAATAAGTGTCACTGCCATAACGGTAGACACAGGTACGCACTACATGTTTAAAGGGAGGCAATGCTCATGACACGCATTTTTAAATAATTATCATCCGATAAAACAGACCAGTCTCTGCCAGTCTTTTTTTTTTTTTTTTAATCCGATGAGGTTATCAGTGATTATAAGCTGATTAATTACCGAAATACATCAACCCTGTGGGCGGCCCATTTTGACGAGTCACATGACTTATTTTACCGGAAGTGACGCGAACTATGGGTTTGGTGTCGAGGACAAATTGACGTATGTGCTTTGTTCATGTTGTTTACTCTAGTTACTCTCACAATTCTATTGAAATATAGGAACAATCCACGGAATGCTCGGTTCCCTCTATTGCCAACGGGTAAGCGTAGCAAGTACGTTCGGAGGCAGTGGCTAGTGAAATGTGCTCGGCCCGAACCGAAAGATCCACAGGCGCATGTATGCAGCGAACATTTCAAGTTTCCGGACGACTACTCTGAGAGT